TTAAAAAATATTTAATAAATATTTACTCGCTGGAATAAATTTAATTATTATTTAATATAAAAGATGTAAAAATTCCAACGGAATAATCTTCTCCGTATCAATTGCGAAAATGATGGGAATAAAGTTGAATGTTTATGATTATCTTACAGGTATTATTATAAAATCTGAAAATAAAATCGACAAATTTAAATTTCTTTCACGAATACATAGATGATCTGGTTATCTTAAATTTTGATCTCAAATATGTAGTTATAAATAAAAAGGAGACAAATAGATACCTCAAAGCTATGATGGAGATAATTTTATTACGTAAACTAATATTTACAACAATTTAAAGCAAGTATTTTAAAGAATTTATTAAATATCAAGAGTAGTTATGAAATATCATTATCCAATTATATCCAGTTATATTTAGCTTGGTTATACAATTTTTCGAAATATTCAAATTACATTGATTTTTTATTTTTCGTATAAATTAAAATATAAATTTCATTCAATATTTAATATATAAATATATAATATATATAAAATATAAATTTTATTTTAAGAAAAGTTCATTTGCTTCTATATTGTTATACAGATTCTATTGCGCATGCGCGTTCGATGTGTATATTTCTAAATTTTAGGCTATCTACGCACAAGGATAAATAAATCAAAAATGTTTCGAAATTCACTTTACACGTTATATCAGATTACGTACAGATATCTTAAAAGTAATAGAGAATTTTGCTCAAGTACTATTTTCGTGTAAATTATAGGATACTGTGAAATATTTGTCACAAAAGAAGTAGTGAACCGAACTCGAATTTCCCGCAGAAATTTTATCGAGCACCCTATAGGTAGAGCGTTGCGCAGCAGTGAGGCATCGGCGCCGTCGGCAGCGGTGGCCTCTTGTAGTTTTTGCTACGCCCTCTTCGCATGAAAATGATTCTTCCCCGGCGTGCTGTAGTAGGGATCGTCGACCATTGGTTATCGAACGTTTGACTGACAGTTCGACTATCTCGTGTTAAGCTCGCGATGAAAGGGAGAAAGAAAAACGACTTCTGGCTCCGTATTAACGCCCACCGACGATTCCGAGCCGTTCTTTAACTCACATCTCTTTCTACTTCGGTGTTGTTGCTCGTCACGACGCCGGTTTTAATACGCCGATGACTGACAGGTAGTAAACAAGTCCGCTTCCCCACGGGATACCATCTTTGTCATAATTAACTCTTTCGGTGCCAGGCCGGTATGTGTGCGAGTTAAACGTGTTTCTTGTAACGAAATGTTTTCACTGACGCTTTATGGTATTTCTGACGTCTACATATATTAAACAAGGAAAAATATCTGTAGAAGAAACGCATACTGATGTTGAAAAAATTATGGACGTATATATACATGGGTTTTAAGAAAAATATATTACCCGATCGTTGTAAATGTGCAGTGCTGAATTTAAAAGTAAACATGACGTTTTGAAATGAAGTAGTTTTATAACAGATGTGCATTCGTTGCATTTTTAGTGCGATAATATTATTGAATTTATGGTTTAATGATATTAATAAAAAATAGTAATAACGTAACAAATTGAGATATCAAAAGTGAGAAACTATAAAGTAAATTTGTACAAATATTTGGTCACTGATATGTACTTAGCGGAATTTAAGTACTCTCTTATGTTCGAAAATGATTACCGTGTCCTAACCGACTGCTATAGCTCTGGCACTTAAAGGGTTAAAGATTTGTTTCTCCTCTTATTTACGCTCGTAAAGACACGTTTCATTGCTTTTCTCTGTCATTACTTTGTCTCTTAGGTATGAGATGTTACTTTCAAATACCGACATTTTTTCGTGTTGAATTTTTTCATGTTCTTTCATAACTTTCGTGATCGTATTTATTTATTTAAATTTTCGAAAATATATTTTCATTTAATCTTTTAAAGATACTAAAAAAGGAAAAGAATAAAAAATAAAAAAATAATTATCAGTACAACTTGAACATGAGTAGCTTAATAAATTATTTTAACAAATTAACACGTTAATTTTACCGTTCTCCGCCAGGTTAAGTTATTACCTCTCACTCTTTGATTACTTCTAATTGCACGTTCCTTGTAGCTTCAGTGTCACAGTAATTATTAGCTCGTTACAAAAAATCAACACGTTGAACAAGTTGTGCAGTAAATCGCGTGAGCAAAGTGCATGTACGCCATTACGTAGTTTCCGCCAATCCATTTCATTTGAATTAATAACCGTCTCATTTTCGGTTGTGTTCACGACACGTGGTTACGACGATATTTTAAATTCTTCATGGTTACAATTTTTTCCATTGACAGCTCGATCAAAATAAATTCTTGCATTTTTATTGGCAGTTTTTTTCTTTTGCTTATACATCAATATCCCATTTGTACATGTTTTATTCGCAATCCATATTAATATTTATTAACTAAATATTACTATTTTAAGTAGGTGCTTTTGGTATATATATATATATATAACCTCTCGATTTGGTATATATATATATATATATATATATATATATATATATATATATATGTGCGTGTATGTGTATTTTTTTTTTTCTCGTAACTACAGTTAATTAGTTTATATCAATAAATAGGTAATTTGTAAAATATTTAAATTTTCAAAACTTTTACGAAAGTAGATATATAAAACATTGGATCTTCGGAGTATAGGTTACGTTTGACGAATTATTAATATATCTTTTTTATCGACGAAACTGTTTCTTAAATTATACAAAAAATTGATATCTAAGGTTATTTAGTTGATTCATTGAGAAAATAAAAATAACGAATCGTAATCTATATGAATAAAAGTACAAAATATTTTGAAATATTGATATCGTAAGATAAAGTTTCGCGCCACAAGATGTCGGCGTGATCGCGTAAATAGAAACTATCGATAGCATTGAATCGATTATGGTATTTCGATAGATATTACAGATTAGTCAAAGCAGTTTTTCTTAACTAGCGTTCTCGTTTGCTCGTCGCTTTTCTGTATGGTAGCAGCTGTGTTCAAATACCATCAAGCACACAAGAATTTGAAAGCGGTGCAACGCATCGTTTAAGGGAGTAAAATGAAGAAGATAGGCATCACACTTCTTGCGTATGCAACGACATGCGGAAGACAAAAAAGTAAAAAATAATGGCTGATGGTCGTCAGCGTTGGAAACTGAAGCTTGATCAACAAGTATCATATTAGAAGAAAGAATGAACCAATGATTGGTAAACAGAAAAAAGAAACTATTAAAATATATATCATATAACAAAATTTTAGTTAAAGTTTAATTTTTTTTTAGTGAAATTTCGTTCGATTTGTAAAATAGCTTTCATATAAAATAGAAGAACTACTTTACCGACGGTGCATTGCTTTAATAAACGACCATTAAATTAAAATGACGGTTTGCAGAGAACGATATAGATGAAAACAATGAAACAAAAGAAGAAATATAGAGAAAGATTTTACTGTTAATTATTCTCATAAAAGTTAATAAAAGAGCAACGAAATAATGGTTAAATCTTCCATACTTTGCTGTTAATGTGCAATAAGTATGAATGGTGTAAGTACTCGTGAAAAGTATCAAAAAGACGAGGAAAATTTATATCGTATAAAGATCATTGGAATACAAACTTATATAAATTCTATAAACAAGAGGAAAAAAAAAAAGTACAGAGACACAAACTTATACAATGAAATAATTCAATATTTGATCACAACGAATGAAATAGGAAGAACATAAGAAACCTAGAGGGAAAAAAGGAAAAACGAGTTTGAACGCGTTTAGGTTGTTTCGATGTGGGGATGTAGCAGTGGAAATGAACCACACTGACCGTTCACCGTCAGCGATAATATTTTTAAATGAAAGCGGCGAGAGAGGCGACCGGCACAATAAATATCGGGTTTAACGGAAAGATGCGAGTGTGTTGGAAGCACCACTTGCAAGTAATGGTACCTCTGTCCACCTCCTTTTTCTACTGTTTCTCTTGTTCAAACGCCACCTCCCAGCATTCCCTTTAATGTATCTAACTGTTCTTCTTGCATATCGATACTTTCTCTCGGTTATTCATTTTCTAAATAACAATACGTTTTCACCCTTTATCGATAGTTTCAGATTTAAAAATTATACACCGAATGAATTTATGAAAAATCCACGGCACGTACCAAGAGTTTAAAGACGTATAAAAGAGGCTATTTATACCAATTTCTTTTTTTTTCTACATGAAGACAGAAGTTTACCTCTTTCTTATTTTCTTCTGCCTCTATACTCACTGTTAGGATCAAATTTTTAAAATCGTAAGTACAAATTAAAATGCTGATAAATGTAGCAATTTCTTCATTTATTCGGGAGACTAATGATACAAAGTTTATTTTTCAAATTATTTTCTGCAGCAAATAATCGACTTTCCCTTAAAAGCGGTCATCTTGTGTATCAAAAAGCACATCGTCTATAAAAAAGATATGATCTGAAAATGCTTTTAATATTCTTAATATACTCTGAAACAAAACGTTCCTCGTTTGAAGATTCTTATATTTGAGAAGAAGAAGAGAAGAAAGAAAAATAGTCATCTTAAATTTATTCGTAGAGAAGAAGAAAGAAAATATCGTTTAAAATAATATTTAGAAAATAAGTTGAGCATTCGTAATGAAAGTTCCATGGTATTATAGTACAAATTATGGAAAATTGCGTTATTCTAACGGTGCCATTTAGCTAATGACACCTTTTTTCCTCCGTAACTATCACTCGTAACCACCATTTTTCGGGCGTCGTCGCCTTGTCAGCCGGCGGTGTGTCGCAGTACTTTATTTATTCATACCGAGGGAACGTGTATGGGGATTGGGGAAAATTCAAAAGGAACGTTCGGAATGGGAAGCAGAACTGGTGCCAGCAACAGTGCTGATGGTGTTGAGACCGTCTAACGATGACATTTAAATGCAGTGCCGCGCATCGTTTGGTTCTTCGTGCCACGACGATTCTCTCCTCCGTCCCTTTCTTTTTCCCCCGTTCCCTAGCTCATGTCTGCTCGAAATACACGAGGATATCTTGCTAAATGTACGATACTTTTAACCTTTTATTTAGTCAAGTGTCATTCTTCAATCACGACTATATAATTCGCATGAATTATACGTAACCATGTATTTAATACTGTTGACTTTCTTTTCTTGTTGTAGTTTTATCCTGTAACTTATTGGAAAATCAAAGGTAGATCGAAAGACAGTTAAATATCAGAGGCCCCGGAGGACCTGGGCAGAGATGGAAACTGCTAGACAGGAATGATAGGTATACAAATTTCACTTTACTTCGGAAAAGTTTGATTATTGTAAATTAATTGAGAAATTTAATATTAATTTAATGCTATTATTATTAGTAATAAACTATGTACTATATTAATAAAATACTAACTTGATCATATTTGTACAGAATGCAAGAGGGTAGCACCGCCGTGGCGCTAGCGATGGTGACTCCTGGTTACGATCAGGACCCTGCAAGTGGGGTTGCCGATTACACGACACATCAAGATCAGGCTCAGTTCGAGGCAGACAAGAGGGCAGTATACAAACATCCCCTCTTTCCGTTACTCGCGTTACTCTTCGAAAGATGCGAACAAGCTACTCAGAGCTCGGACAACTCGACGTCCGAAAGCTTCAACATGGACATACAGGCCTTCGTCCAACACCAAGAAAGAGACCGAAAGCCTTTTCTGATCAATGACCCCGAAATTGACGGTTTGGTAAGTTTCTTTATCGTTCGTATATCAAAGTTTACACAGCTTCGATTACGATGTAAAAATCATGTAAAAAGTTCGTTTTCGTTTATGTACTTAAAAGATGTTACGATATTTGCATTTATTTATATTCACATGTATATTTCTATACCATCGCCATGAGTATGAAAATTTTGTAAATATTTGTTAAATATCGTAAAAAGAAGACTCGTATTTCTTTCGAAAAACAAAGAAAGAAATAATGAGCGACGATGCGCTGCTCGAAATGAAAAGAAAATCGTTCATTCGTCGACATTGTTTTATGCCTCTGCCAACGCAGATGATCAAGGCGATACAGGTGCTACGGATTCACCTACTCGAACTGGAAAAGGTGCAGGAGCTGTGCAAAGACTTTTGCAACAGGTACATCACGTGCCTGAAAGGCAAGATGCAAAGCGAAAATCTGTTACGCAGCGATTACAGTCACCATGGACACGACATGGGTCCATCGAGTGGCAGCAACGGGAGCAGTCCTTTGCAGGTTAGATATTATTTTCAGCATTTAAGGCAGCCTGGCCTGTTTCCCCCTTTACCTACGTAGTTATCCTTTTTTTTTAGTGATGCGCAAGGATCGTGAATATAATCTTGAAATGCTCCATGCTACGTATTTCGCTCTTTCTTTATCTCTTAACTCTTCAGCTTAAACTGAAACTTAAACTGCGCCTTCTCTCCGTTAACATTATTACCTCATATAGAAACTGTATCGTATCTTTAAAATAACCCAGTAGGAGCTTTGTATCGGAGTAAAAGAGATTCCTCGACTCTTTGTAGAAAATCTCGAAATATCGGTCAATCAACTAACGCCCGTGAGTACTCTGACCTAAATATAGCGTTTAGTGGTAGCTAAATAAGGTATTGATTGAAGGAAGTTCTGAAAAGAATATCCAGTAAAACTTTAATAGATAGAATGTAGTCTATGTTTGGCTGTTTACGTAAATACGTGATATGTAATTGACCAATTACTTGATTCCGTGTTATTATACAGCATATGATATATTTATTGTTAATAAATAATTATGACTGTACGTCGATTAGTGAAATTAAACATGGACTTAATACTTTCTAATTCTCTGTTTATCCTTACAATCTCTTTACGTTATTGACCTTCTAATATTAACAACATGCTATAAATTCTTTGATTAAGTTAAGAATTATTCTGACACTTGATTTAACGTATATATGTATCAGTCACTTAATTGGAAGTAGATATAATTTATAAAAGACGAAAATGAGCGATACTTGCGCGTCGCTCGAAATATTATAGAACCCCACCCCTGCTGTCTGACGGCTAGTTGCGGCATATATTTCCCAGGTGCTGTCTTCTACAGGCAATGATGTTGAGTCGGGAGCTAACGGATTCAGAGTGAGCAGAGCCGACACCCTGTCGGAGAACGGTGGTGCAAGTCAGTTGGCTGCTCAAGAGGAAACCGGTAACGACAGGCCGCCGTCAGTGCGATCATCATCCACCGCTCAACGTTCGAATAGATCCTCCAGCCAGGACCATGACGATCCTCTGTCACCTTCCACGGTACATGGCAGTACGCCTCTTTCACAGATTGGGGCTCATTCCTGTGTGCCAGTCAACGACATGTATCTTGGTCAAGGTAAGTTAATTAGCAATTAATTTTATACGACAAATGGATACTTTAATTAAACGTTAATTAAATTTCACCTAATTAGTTAGATAAAATCAATATTAAATATATAGTATAGATTTTATTTTAAATGTTGGTTCTGTTAACTTAATTATATTTTTTTTTCTTCCAATTACTTCGAATAAAACTTTATCTGTACGCAGATATTTCATTTTACTATTTGAGGATTTTATTCAGAAGTATTCACAATTTTATTGCAGTACGAAAATTACTTATGACTATTTTTATGACGATCACGGCAATAAAATGAGCTTAAAGAAAAGGTTAAGTATTGATTTGAACGTAAGCATTATCAACTTACGTTTATAGATGATATGGACTATGTGAATATTATTGGCGACAGAATATATTTAGAAGAGGCTGGCTATTGGGGCCTTCTTGCCTTACAAGAGCGTGAAAATGAATACGTCGATGTCGGGGATGCGAATGACGAAAAATATTTTGGTTAGATGAACTTGGTTCTATTTTACCAATGACTAATGTTTTCACTTAGATATTAATTACTAATTAAACATGCGAAATTAAACTAATGTCTTAAAAAACGTAATATCAATTTTGCATGAAAGACATTAGACAATTTTCTACAACAAATATATCGTATTTATTATGCTTAGATATCACTGTGGCGGGCTCCCCTTCACCTGCACCAAGTGAAGACGAAGATGAAGGATGTGGAACTGGTACTGTTACTTCCAATCACAGTACTAGTCATGGAGGTAATCATAGTAGCGTTAAGAAGGGAAGACAAAAGCGGGGTGTCTTACCCAAGCAAGCTACGAGCATTATGCGAACTTGGCTCTTTGAACATTTAGTTGTAAGTATAAGTTTTATCCAGTTACTACTAAATACTTCAGTTGAAAATTTCAAATATCACTGTCCACTATTTCTTAGCATCCGTACCCCACGGAGGATGAAAAGCGTCAAATCGCAAGTCAAACGAACTTAACGTTGCTTCAAGTCAATAATTGGTTCATTAATGCTCGTCGACGAATCCTCCAGCCAATGCTTGACGGTGCTGGGGCTGATTCCGTACAGCGTGCCGGAAAACGTCACAAGGTATCGAAGCATGTGGTGCAACAACAACATGTGCAGCAACAACAAGGCGGCGGCTGGCAATCTGAAGACTCTGGGAGCGATTCAGGCTCTAGCGACGGGGAAGGAGGTGCCGATAGATCGAAAGATGGTAACGATAGCGACGAAGATGATCTTCACTGACCTCTGTCGATCACCGATACGTCAACCTCTTTACGGTACCTTCAAATCCAGTTGCTCATTACAGTATTAAGGTATTCGAGAATAGATTTCGCTTTATCTGTCAAATACGTAATTATTCTCGCGAAAATCAAGGGTATTATTGGTCGAGGTTATCACGCTCTCTTATCGGATCCGACAGTTTCGATCTCCTTAACTATTCATGGAGCATCTTTGCGTTTTTAAGCGTTGTTATGTGTTAACTACGGTCCGAGAAAGATTGAAAAAAATTCTGTATAATTCGATTACGAAACATGTTCTTCCTTTTCTTTTTATATATTCTTCGTAAAAGTAATTCAGTCATGATAAAAAAGATATTTTCATTTATCGAATCGTAAGATCTTCAAATAGAATGAAGCTTATTTTAGAATTGTTATCTTTTTTTAATCAGTTTCGTTGATTTGTTAATAAGCAAGCTGCATATAAAACAGTTCTTAATTTCTCTTATATAGTTTTTTGTTTTTTGCGATTGTTTCTTCTTGACAATTGTTAATTTGCATATAATATTTCAAAGTGACGAATGAAGGGTGCTACGTATGTAGCGTAAGTCATCGTTTGTATCATTTATTAAACCATAAGCCGCGTTTTTCACGACATTTATCGAGCGTCGTTTAGTTCGTTTAGAGCGTAGTTATAATATTAATAACTGATTTATAATAGGAGCAAATTATTTTTCGAAAAAGACTTGAATATTCACACCATGAGAGATCTTTACGGAAATGAATATATTTGCGTGCAACATGTACATTTTTTCTATGATATAAACTAGGAACGAACATTTTGCTCGTTTAGTAATACAATTAAAAAGCTAAATCTAAGGCGACAACAAGAAATCAGTGTTAATGTTTATATATTTTTATATCAAAACTTGATTTCCTTCAAAATGCGTTTTTCCTTGGGTTCAAAGTAACGTGAAACGTCTTTTAATGTTTAATAACAATAAAAAGAAAAGAACAAAAGCAGTACATCTTTAGAAGTTATAATTTTTGTTAATAAATTTATTTTCAGACATTTTGAGATACTATTAAAGTTACGGATACATTTATTCTCTGAAATCTGGGTAAAATTATAAATGGAAAACTAACAATATTTAAAGTAAGATCAAAGATCAATATTTAACACCATTTATTGGTTCAATGAGCCTCATATAGTTAACTCGATTAGTACTTTCTATAGTGTTATCGAAATCGTCCAAACGAGACTATATATAATATAGAAATCTTAATAACGACACGAATGAACGGTCGTTCTCAACCCTTCCTAATTAAAATAAGCTATGACGATATTGTGCTACTACGTTTAACATAGACGAGATGTGTTTTTGTGATCGGTTGCCACCCATTGAAATGCAAAAAAGAAATCTAAATCCTAAAACATCATGCATAAAAAATTAAAAATTAATTGAAAGATGATTGTGATGATCGGTCAGTAAGATGATAACTATCTCGATCTTGTACTCTTCGTGCCATTAAAGAGCGTGGTAACTTCCGCGTTTAGTCTTTGTTCAGCTCTGCAGTGTCGTGACATAGCGAAGTGCTATCCCTCCAAGATAATAATAATAATAATAATAATAATAATAATAATAATAATAATAATAATAATAATAATAATTATTATAATTATAATAATAATAATAACAATAATATTATTATTAATAATAATACTATTACGACTAATAACGATAACAACAATAATGATAATATAATACTACTTTAAATATATGATGATTATATTTTTAAACTCTAAGTGTCGTCTTAAAAAAGAAAAAAGAAAAAAAACGCGTGTACTGCAATTGAACGGACGTGGTACTGCTGTACATATACAATATACAAGAATTGTTAGAAATAAAGGAAAAGAACATTAGTGTGATTCTTCAGAAAGAAAACAAGTGGAAATGAAGAAGCAGATTAATAATACTTTTCTTGTAACTGAAACAACAGAGAAAAAAGTCTAAGGCTCGACGACAAGCACACATGCCATCTTAGGGTTATAAGTGTTCACACATTCGCTGTCTGCATATGATCGGTTGCGTTTTACTGAAAGTGTCCTCCAGATCGCGTGCTGAATACTTAGCGAGGTGTAATTTTTAATTAAAAACCCAGTGTAAACTTATGGAAGACGAGTTCCAAAATTTTATTGCTTGATACTGACGTTGTTTTAACTTTCATGACAATTAATCATGTACATATGATGCTCTTCCTGCGTACTTGTCTTCGATTGTCCTTTAATTATTTCCAAGCGTTCCGTCCATCGCATTTTCAACACCGTTGAGAGATTCTCGTAGGATCTTCAACTGCCTTCGAAACGCGATTCTAAAGAAACAAGCATTTTTTAAATGATCATTCGAACGTAGAGATGTAATCACTTATAAGAATACTATTAGTAATAATTTTCATGTTTCCTTTATCATTTTGAACTGTTTAAAAGTGATCACTGCTGTATTATACTTTTTGACATCCTCAATGAAAACTATTTGTCTGTATTTAATTATCGTTTATCTATTTGTAAACTACATTAAGCGGCGATTGGATATTTAACTGAAAAATATTATCGAGATCCATAAGATATTAAAAAGAAAAAAAAAAAAAAAAAAAAAAAAAAAAAAAGAAAAAAATATGATTCACTTCTAATGAGTTTCATAAAATTTCTTAATAAGCAATACCGGTGCCAGTGATTCCTAGTATACAGCACTCTCCCGATTTCTGTGCATGGCTGTTACATGCATTTTCAAAGAAATTTATAACCCGTTAGCATATGGCTAACAAATGAACGACAGTCCACTTCAAATGCATAGAGGGTCATCCGCATATGTAGTAGAATTTTGGTCACTGATCTCCTATTAAAAGAACATCATAAAGCAATAAGATTAAGTTGTAGTTGTGCAATGATAAGAAAGCAGGAAGTAATAGTTGCTTACTACTTTAAACGATGCGGTCGATCCTTCATGTATTCAGAAAAAAGGAAAGTTCAAAGCCGTCGATTAGATTAGATTTAGTTTGCTATTAATTGGTATCCTACTTTTTTCTCATATATAATCGATGTACATAGCCGACACAGGCACAAGGTGCTTCCATTAGTGGCTTATGAGCTTTTTCCGAGCATTGTTCGAAAGAAACCGATTTCTATTCCAACAGTTGGCCAGTGTGTTATCCACGACTGCTCGAAACTAAAGACAGAGAAGTTCTGAAAGAGAGAAGCAAACTGATCGAGGCTTAGTAAAACGATATCATCAATTGAAGACAGCTTTTATTACAGTATAGCTCCATATACGGTGTAGTGACGTAAATGAAAAAACAGGACGAACGATTGTAGATAAGGTTACAAAAAAAAAAATCGACAAAAATGATGATTCGATTATGTTATAAGATATGGTTTAATATCATTTTCTATTTCGTCTTAATTTTCAATGCGATCAGCGATTAGTAAAATAGTCTACGATCGTTCGTACCGGTTAGGTCATCTTTGTTTACAAGTATCAGCAATAAATGCGCGCACTCTCTATAAAAGAATAGAACTAAGAATCGTCAGCTCGTATCGCAAAAATCACCAGATACGGGACTATACTGTACACTCTTGACTAAATATAATTATAAAATAATGGTAGATTAAGAGGTAGGTTATAAGGCTGAACCACGTATACGTATGTGCTGCGGCACCAGACGACTGTGATAAACTCGGTGGGCGGTGCCCAGCCTCCTACTTCATATACTGAAAATTATGAAATATTACAAAACACACACATGATACAAAAGCCAGAAACAAATACACAAGTAGAAACATTTATCAGAAATGATTGAACGTATATTAGAGCTTGCATTGAGAGAACTTAGTGCTCAGTCCATTAGTTTGCTTGAAATGTTACTTTCGCTGTTTATAAGGTTTTGCTTGATCAGTAACTCTTACTGAGTATGCTTGATTTAAACATAATTTGAGATATTTGAAAATATACAGAAATAAATATTTCGTACAATTTGTAAATAGTGTGGTTAACGGTAGATGTAAATTTATTATAATTATATCATAAAAGCATATTACATATATTGTAATTGTTTAAAGTATAAATTGGAATATAAAAAGTCGAAACATATGAACATTTTCATCCTTCTAGGTGCATATGGACGGACCCCCAAACAAATCTCTAATGTTGCATTAGTGATTGAAGTGCAAGCTCTAAAATATTTAAGAAGATAGGAATGGACCAAAAAGTGTGATGATAATATGAATTTTAATATCAGATTATGTTTGTTAAGCTGTTTGTTTATCTTCCATTGACTCTTATAATTAATATGCTAAAGATAATGTATATTTCGCGTGTTATATTTTGCATATTATTTCACAATGTTTTGTGTATTGTTATATCATTAGTATCTCTTATCGCAACATTATAACTTAATAGGATATTATAGGACAAAGTTTTAAAGCTTTCTATGTTGTATACATGTATACATATGTTTAAGAAACAACATGTGAAGAGTTAAACAAATTTTATCTTCTTCTTGATTTTATTCGTTTTATCTATATTCCTTTATATATTTCGTTGCATTTTGCTATTTAATTAATGCTAGAATTTTATATATATTTATAAAAAAAACATGTTTCAGTTTATGGATTTTACAAATATTCAAAAAGTTTTAAAAATTTGTTTGGTACTTTTTCGTAAATATTCAAATGTACATGAATAAATATTTGTATAATACTGCAGAACATATGCATATATTATATATACTAATATGGAACTATAGGACTTTCATAGGTCCATTCCTAACTTGAAATTTTAAGTCGTAAATTAAACGTATTACATACTTACATACATACTAAAAAGAAGCATAAGTAAACAACATGAATACTTCTTTCTCGTGTACATCAAGGTCCTGTTAAATAAGTTGTTTATTAATAATAAATGCCATCACGCTTGCAATACGTGTTTCTGATTTTTATCGTAACCTTAAAATAAATAGTTTTTTAAGAAATAATTCTATAGCAAATAATATAAAAAATTAGCTTAGTAATGCAGTCATATATTTTTTTTTATGAAAGAAAAGTTTCTTAATAGAATAAAATAAAATTATTAGGAAAATTCGAATAAACTTTAAGTGTTTAAATACACCATACAAAAAGTTTTATTATGTATAATAAGACTATGTAACTCATACATTTAACGAAACATTAGTTAATTACATCATTTGTTATATCTTTATATTTTTCAAAAATGATGAAATTGCAACTAGTTATAGGCAATTATTTATGAAAAATTCTATATTATAATGAAAAAACAAAAAATTTAGTAAATATCTTTTTTATAATGTATTTACAGTTTTTATAAAATGCACTCAATTAATTTACTAAAATTTTTTTATAACAATTTCAGCTTATAATAACAGAATTCTTTAATTTTTTTCTTTACTTCAGCATAACTTTATTGTATTAATTATTATATCAAATAATCTAGATTTCTTAAATTAAGGAAAATGATTAATTAAAGAATAAATATTGCAAATATGCAAACTATATATTAAAAAATACGATATAGTGAATATACATCATATAACTGCTTCTTAATCAGAAATAATTTTTATTGCAATCAAAAATTTTTCTACGAAGAAAATTCCTAATATTCCTGTTGTAATAAGTAACAAAAAAAAAAATTTTTTTACATTATGTATATTACATTATAATCGCATTTAGGTATATTGTATAATTAACTAGTTTTAGGTATCGTGAGCAAGAATCATGTTAAAGAAATTAAATATCCTGCGCTAACATCAATTAATTTCCGATATAGGATAATTATAATAAATAAACGAAAAAATATAAAATTAATTACTAAAATTATTATCTATTAAATATCGATAGATGTACCGCAAATAATTAATGATTCACTGCAATATGAATCAAATTACATACATAACACTCATAATACTAAATATTCATGAAAAAATGGACATGGAATTAAATAATTGTTGAAAGTACTATATAAATCATACTAGCTGTAAATGTTATATGTAATTACGCGTATAAATAAAATACGTATGTTTAATTATTGCGTACAAAAGGACCTTAATGAAATAAAGACTTCGATAGATTTTCTAGTGCTAGCATATCTTAAATATCTCGAGATACAAGAGTAGTACTCTCGTGTCAACTTTTTGTGGAATTTAAAAAAAAATTCCACCGATTCATTGAATACACATAATGCACATTTATAAAAATGTATATACTCAAATGTCATTGATAATTATCGACTCATATATAATATATAACCATGATAATATCAGAGACAGGGACGTGACATGTTAAGAGAACATTTAAATCGTTCTCATTATACTAACAACAGGTGCAAAACATTGATTACACAGTCATCGTGTAAAATCACGATAACATTGAAATTAAACGTCGGTGGCATCGGAATATATTTTGATATTGAGGTATAAAAATTATCCGAGAGCGTACCACATACACATTCAAAGGCTAGTCACTGGAACATCTTCACCTTCTCGATGAACCAACCTGGTCACTGATATGTGGTCCGCAGCATATCCCTAGGAGTTGAGTGTTCTTCTAAAACAAATTTCTTTAATATATAACGTAGTAGTCAAGTAAATTAATATTATGGACTTTCTTTGTTTTGGATAATTAAATTACCTTGAATTGAATAATATATCAGCTCGAGAATTAATGAACCATACAAGAAAGAATGATATAACAGCTACTGAACCTCCTAAGATCATAGTAAGTCGTTCTGTAGCCGCTGAAGGTTTCAGAAACATTCTCACACTTAACGTTTGCCATGTAGATTCTGTCCATGTTGAATATATTCCTGATTTCATGTCATACCCTATTCAAAGCAGAAACTTAATGAATAATTTGTTTTAAGTCATTTGTTTTTACTGATTCACAAACTTACCATCAATGATAAATGCAGGACTTACAGCTGTGCTATAATTTACAGTGGAATTTACACATAAACCTTCCAAATTTTCACCAGCCATCCAAACAAGATGATTTTCGTAACATGCTGTTTCTTTCTCAACAGGAACTTCCTTCCTAGTCAAAAATGCAAGAAGTTGACCAGTTAGTGTTGTTGCAATATTCGGTACCCTATGTACACCAACGTATAATGATAAAACTTGATTAATTAATTTAGTGCTCGGAGATAAAGCAGCTCGAAACAAATCACATGTAGCATTTTCCAAGTAACAAATCAGCATTTGCGAAATGCGATGTTCAACATCTTGAAAAGAAGAATTTGCAGATGGAATTTGATTACCAGATACATCTTCATAAAGAATCTCGGCAACATGAACTGCTATCTTTGCTAAGGCAGTTGCAAGCCCATTTACGTCGCTAAAGAAATATATTTTATATAGTAAGAGCATAAAATAAAACACTTGTACATAAAATATAACAATAAAATAGTACTTATTAAAATTGAGGCTTTTTGCATCATCCAAAATTCCATTGTAATATTTGTTTTGAAATTGTTGAGCATGATCACTTATAACAACAGCAGTTAAATTTGGTTTTTCTTCCAAGAAACTCTGTATAGATGTAGGTGGAATACTGCCTTCTAAAACTGTTGCATTTAATGCTGTTTCTATTTTGTTTATTACATCATCGTTTTGACCATTATTAGAATGAAGATACAATTTTCCTTTGTTTAGCTGACCAAATTCGATTACAGTTTTAATATCATCAAACTTTAAATTTACTCCACCTAATGCATTGAAATTACCTTCTTTCAAATCATAAATTAATCTACTAGATCCTATGTAATCAAAAGCTTCACCATTTAATAAAGAGAAAACAACATTAGTTTCTGAAAAAAAAAATATATATATATATATATATATATATAGATACACACATGAGACAAATAAAAAGTACTTACATATTATACTTACTATTATTCAGTACAGTATCTTTAGCTAAATTATTTAAATAATAAGCAGTAGCAAGTAATGTTACCAATCCTGTAATTACATTGCCTGCTCCAGGTGATATTCCATCAAATAAAGAAGAAGCATCTAATCTTGCTGTAACTAATATTATGGAATTTTTATCTTTATTTAAGGGAGCTAAAGGCCAATATATATTCCTATCCCCCAAAGGATCACAAAATTGTGTTGGATCAATGTTTAAGATAAAATCACTGCGTCTTATGCAAGATTCAGAGTTAATTGCTGCAAACATAAATGACTTCATTTCTAGCGCGCACAGTGATCTATGCTGTTGATTTTCTAAATCATGTGCATTATGTTTCCAGAAGCAAGACTTTACAGCTTCTATTAGTGTTTGATTCTAAAATAAAAAATCAATAACTTACATAATAAAATACAATAATGATAATAATAATATAAATATATAATAATAAACTATTGAAATTTTAAAAGTAAATAAATAATACAAGATTTTTAAGTATACCTCTGTATAAAACATTGGAAAAGGCCAATCTTCCATAAGTAATGAAGATCCATGTGGATTCCATGGTGAAGCACTATTACAGCTTTTGTATCCTGAGTATCTGTTCGGACAAGTATCTTCTGGAGAATAAAAGTCAGGTCGTGGTTGACTGATATTTTTAACTAGCAAAACTCCATTTATGTTATGTGTATTTTTTAACCGAAATAATATGTCTCTAGTAAACATAGAAAATGTAAGAACTACTGTATAAGCTCCAGCAGTAGCATTGTATTCAAGCCATCTGATATCAGTTTCATCTTCAACTAAATGAATAATACCAACATTTCCTGACATACTTGCTAAAATAAACAGTATAATATTTGGCATTATTTACAATAACTGATCTATTTCAAATAGTATCAAAATTATATTGAATAGATAAATTGACTCTTTAGAAGAAATTTATATTGAAAAATAAATATTTGTTAAATAAAATTACATAATGTAAAGAAATAATATAATATAACATAATCATACAAGAACATCCGAACTGATGTGTTCCATTGTGTCTACGAAAACAAGCAGCAACACCTTCAAAGGACATATAAATCATATCTATTATTCGTTCTGCAGCCACTGAAAAGAAAAAAAAGAATTTTACACTTATTATATCTTACTACTAATTACATTGTTTTATGTATATAATGGACAAAAATGGCTGTTTGTAGCTGATAACAATTTTGATAAGTAAAATTTTTCACAGATTTATCTTTATTTTTCAACAGCTGTTTCAGAACTTTATACTTTATTGAATTGTTTATTTATTAAAAAGAAAATATATACTTAACTACATTTATTATATTTTTTAAATAAAATTTTACCATTTTTTTTTCTTACCTATATTTACGATAAAAAATATTAGAAGGTACCCACAGTTTAAACATTTTGCCATTTTTTTTTGTGGTGGCACCTGTCAAAAGTTTCTTTTATTTTTTTGGACCACCACTGTGGAACTTCTTTATAAAGGTTAGACACGATGACACAATTGCATCGCGTGAATCAGAGAATAAATGAGGGTTTCATATTTCGCTTGGTTTTAGCTACTACCGCCACCACTATGCTGTAACTACTAGAAACTGCATCTGCTATATGATTTTCTAGATCACTATGATAAATCAATATCGGTGAAGATAATTAATTTTAAATAATTGAATTTAATATAAATAGGAGTAATTGAAATATACTCTATTATATGTTAGAGATGATAAAATCTATGTATTAGCATTTAAAGACAATATCCAAAATATAATACGTAAGTATTAAATCGCTCACTTTAATTTGATAGTGTTCAAACAATTAAAATAAAATTAATCTTTTGATCAATCTTTTAAGTCTAGATACTAAAAAATTGCATGAAATATTTCTGGAAAAGGGGGAAATTAATTAAATTAATCTACCCATAAAGTACTACGCTCCTGAACATCGTTCATTAGTCATTCTCATTCGTTCCAAGTTACACGTTGTATATACCTCAGTGTTAGTTCGTCACGTGTAACACTTAAGTGAAAACTCTCTTTTCCTATCTTTCTCCTTTCTACGAATTCTCGATTGAAAAAGAATTTTGAATAGTGACTGTATCTTCACTTCCCTGTTGAACGTTTGATGCAATATTACGTCTTTCAATTAAATTGACAACTCATCAGTAAGACGCCATACGTGGTAAATAAATTATATGTCGCGTAAAACTAATTAAACATCTGAATAACTACATTATATATATTATTTCAATTGTAATTTTAAATGAACTTCGTAATCCTTAAATTTTCAGTAAAATCGTATAAATATAACTTTTATTTAATGAATTCAATAAAAATCATTTTATTATTTACAGGAAGTTGGAAAGCCCTGTTAGCTTTATGAAACAAGAAATGTAACTCTTAACGAAAAAAGGTAGTAGTTCCTATAAATTGTGTAATTTAAGGTAAATAAATATTTTTTCAATTATGTAAAGTACGTTGGTTAAAATAGCTATTATATTAATCCAACATTCATGCCCTCAGTCTTTTTCATTGTGAAAAATAGTACTAAAAAACATATTGGAATCAATCTACTTTATTTTTACTCATTTTCTCTCCAATTGAAATCATTTAAATGTAAACGACTGAGAGATTCACATTGACCGACAAATTTAAAAAATTAATATAACAATTCAATTTTAAAAGAAACTGTAGCTTTCAATTCAGTTAAACATCAAAGCATATGTGTCCATACACACGAATTTTTTAATTAATTTGTCATGCACTAATTCTTAATTCCTAACACGCTAATGTAACATTGTAATTTCTTTAAACAGAGATGCGAACGAAACTATACGCAGCAGTGATGACGCATATCGCGTGAACAATATATAGAATAGCCATGGGCGAATGCCTATAAAGCATATACAGGTATCAATAGGCACGGACACGTGAGTGCGGAAACACGTGTATCAGCTGTCGATAGCGTGCAGTAGTGCCGCGCGCGCCAGAAAGATACGGCAAGCATAGTATTAGGTCGCGACTAGCTTGTAGAAGCCGATAACGAAAATATTCGCTAAAATAGACATTTTCTTCTATATCAATTTCAAAAGTGTCACACATAAAACAGAATTTTCCAACAAGACGTAGACGACAAATTGGTATAACAGAATATTACGTGTTATTTCGCTTCGACGTGCCTTAAAACTGAGTATCTGCGTTTAGTAGGTGTGATCAATTATTGGGCAGCAATTTGGACGATTATAAGGGGGAATCGCGTAACACGATGTCGAAGTTCGAGGGACAAGTTGCAAGATTTGCTGCATAATATTTTGTGGCAAGGAAAGTTGTAATACAAACAATTGTTAATATTGTTTTGCGAGAATGGTTTTTTGGTTGGAAACGACGAAGCGTTATTGACAGTCATATTGGTTAGAACAATACTTTTATTGCTCGATGGCATTTGTATTAACCATATGTGTGTTGTTTCAGGCAACAGCTTGACTGGCAACCAAATCGAATGCTGGCGGCGAGCCACTGCGAAAGTAAATGGGTTTCGCTTCCAGAGAATACGATTATCCTCCACAAAGAACTTTCGTTCTATCCATCAGCTTCTGTCCCACGATTCGCATATACTCGCAAATCACCGTTCTTGAAGAACGTAAAATTCAGTCACAACCGGGATAATAGGTAATGTTTTTTCTTTTATGTCTGAGCTTTTTTAAACTTCAATTTGCATTGTTCGCATTTTTCTTGTGTGTTAAGTATAATTACCTATTGACAGGTTACGTTACAAAGAAATGTTTAATTTTATAATTTAATTTTTTTTTTTCATTATAATACAAGTATCGATATTTAAGTATGTATATCGAACAGACGCTTTAAAATAAAAGCTTTTATGCGAACAAGGTTACAGTTACGTTGCATTGTACGATAAATCATTTGGTAGATATTAACGTCATTAGTGTTTATTCACTACCTACCACATCGACTATTGGTATCGTTTTATAACTTGGTATCTGCGTATAGTAAAATTTAATCTTCGCAATTGCTATTTTTATCTATTGTTTCAGTCGTTATTGCGTTCTATAAATTTACAAAGTTTGGAGGAAAAATTAATTAAATTTATTTAATTTTAAAGATTTTATTTAAAAAAATTGCACTGTTTTTTATTACAAGTTAATGAAAAAAGTTTAATTTTTTTAATAGAAGTGATGTATTCATTACTGGAATGCGTGATAAATAGAATCAATCAAAGATTTATCGAACGATGTTTAATTAGTTAGTAATTTATATCAGTTTCCTTTCTCTTCGTGATACACGTGAGTCGCAAAGGAAAACACGTGAATGGTCTACTGGGAACCGGCAACGGGCTCCACAAGTCCATGACCTCCTTTTATAGATTACAAATGTTTTATTAATCGTATAAAATATTAAATACTTAAATATGCAAGTATACCGATACGATTTTTTCTGGATATTTTATATGATTTTTTATATGTATGTGTTATCTTTTATGTAGCGACCATTTTATCCTTTTTGTTTCTCATTATTTTGATAATCTTAATCTTATATTTTTGGTGCTTACAAGTAGAAACGTTGGTCGACTTTAATTTTAAAATATGGAATATGGATAGTCATACTAACCAAGGTATCAAGAGATATTCAAAATTCAGTTATTTTGTATCAATTTTCGATATCAATACCTCTTAAAGTTATAGTAAATCAATATAAATATTGTATCCACATTGAGATATCGATATTTTAATGCAGTATGAAATGAGTGTTTGTAATCTCGAAATGTATCAAATCGATAACTATACTTTTATGAAATAGAAATATTAGATATCGATTATGTTTGATATCTACATGTATTATACTTTTCGATACAGTATTGCTAATTGTCATTTGGCATCGATAGTATCGATACAGCATTGTTACGATCGCTACTAACGACATCGTTCGGGCTAAATGTGTCAACTAAAATTGTTTCCAAAATGGAGGGCTCCCAACACGGAATCCACGTGATCCATAAAACGCAAGCACGTGAATAGCTACATATTAGCTAGAGGCTAAGAAACGTTTTACTTAGTCCATGACCGGTTTCTATGTGTGCAATCCTTTTACCGGTCCCGGGTACGGTTCAAAGTACGCGCTCCCCTTTTAAAGGTGCAGCGGACCAGTGCAACGATGCATGCCCAGCACGTGCATGTCCTAGTCGACAGCCTCTCCGTGGTCCCAATTCGATCAATGTTGTCTCTTGCACAACGATTACAACATCCTTTCCAATCGTCCTTTCGCTTTTTCTCGCCGCCTCCTTCGACGAAGGCCGTAGTCACGATCTCTCTTCGCTTCTAAGTCCCGCTGTTGCGTTCCACAGCATTATACGCCGATCTACTAGTACCCGAAGAGTTTTAGTAGCTCGGTGCCTGCCGAGGTTGTCTGCACGCTGGCTGAATGTACCTTAGGATATCTTGAATCGATTGTGACTTGTATGGACGTTTTAAAACCCGACTATGTAAATTACACGTTGTCGAAGTAACAAAGTGTTCAAATAGTGTAATCTTTTCGGTGGTAACTTTGAGGATACCTGAGTTGAATGGATTTTGAAAAAACTAACGGGACAGGAAATAAACTCTTGAAAATAATTAACCAATGAGACAAAAGTAAGGCTTTGGAAAAGATGGATTGATTTATGTTTCAATGATTATATTTGATGCGGTTGTCGGAGTTGAAGGGATTGCTAGGAATTATGAGAATTTGGCAAATCAACCATCGTACCTGGACAATTATTTTTACCGCATTACCTTTAATGCTGATGGTAACTGTATATCATAAGGGTATGGAATATTGCCAGTGAAATTGATAAATAAGACTTGATGTCGTGAAATTATGTTTTTGGAAATGACTTGTCATTAATAGATTTAAAGTTAAATTAGTCAAAATCAATCGAATTTATTGATCATAGAGTACCATTTATAAAAATCCAAAAATCTTAAGGTATATTTCCATTTTGATATTTTATTATGCAATCAAATTTGAATTTAGGAAAGTTAAGAATACCACTAAATATTTTTAGAAATATTTCAATCGACTGTTTTTTTTAATTCGTAGATTATATTCGGATGGAAATTTAACATGAATATTTATAGCAAGGACTGAAATTAGGGTGAGAAGGAAGAATATATGGTCACATAAAATTTTGAGTAGCCCAACTTGTCCTATACATGTCACGTAGTTTGAAGTGAGTGAGAGAGTTTGTAAGATATAGAGAGAGGGAGAGAAAGAGGGAGAGAATGTGCGAGTGTAAGTATATATTACGTGGGAGATACGTGCGCGGGGTAGCGCTTGGTTGGAATTGATGGTGAGGGTTGTTTTGTTTTATTATGGTTATATTGAATTATATATTTAAGAATTATTTTAATGTTTTTTCCTGTTTCTATTCATAAAATTCTTCACAAAATTCTCTTACGAATCCATGTCTTTTTATTATATCGGAGATATATTACTAACCAGTAAAATTCGTACAAATATTTGCTAGTAGATGCTGGCACTAATGAACACTGCAAAGCCTGATTTCCTGGAGATCGACAATGATAAGTTTAAAACCATCATGAAAATATCAAACAATGACTCGATTGAACAAAAAAAGGATTATTCCGGAAACGATGAGGAATCTTCGAAAACTCTGCAACTTCTACGAATTAAAGGATTTCCTCGCTTGTTACCTGAAGGTTTGAATCATTTTAAATCAATAAAATATAATGTTTCCCAATTTCTTTTCCGAAATTCAATTAGACTAATATTAATGATGATATAAATAATTACAATAGTTATAGAACAGATTATATGATGTCAATAAATGTTTGCAGGAATTGAAACGTTAGTCAATTACTGCCAATACCTACAAGAATTATCACTGTCTTATTCATTGCTTAGCGACGAATTATTGATAGCCTTGAGTTCTGAGAAACAGGTGCAATTGGAAACCCTACGATTGGAAGTACATCCGGAGACAAAACCATTACCTCGAGTCAGCGATAAAGCTTGGTTTACATTCTCCAGTCATTTGCCGAACATAAATCTTGTGCTGTGAGTGCACATTATTTATTAACTTAAATTGTAGATGTCCAATTTTACTTAAATTTTTTAATGTATTTTAAGAAAGTTACGATATTAATACCTAATGTAAATTCAGTATATTGAGGTTGGCGAAATCACTATATAAAAAAAAAAATACATTTAACAGAAATTTTATCAGTACGTTACTTAAAATGTAAGATGTATCCTAAAAAATATCATTTTTTAATATTTTATTTTTAATCATATATTAGATTGTCTTACATGACGAACGAAGACGATCAAAGTCCCTTGTTCGCGCCGTATGTTCCTATAACACACTTGTACTTTGGAGAAGCACCATCAGAAGCAACTGCGTTATGTATTGGCCATCAGTGTCCTCGATTGATCGAGTTGGTAATTGCAGCTTATGGACCTGGTTTACTTGATCACGCATTACAATGTGTCGCTCAAGGATGTCCACGTCTAAGCGCCGTGGGTTTGGGTGATTGTGAAATCACGTATGTAACACAATATTTAAATTTCTACATGCAATAGTCATAGGCCCTTAAAAGTGTATGCATGTAAAGTAATAGTTAACAAAAATTTATATTGTGATGTTTTTAAAATTCAAAAATTTTTTTAATTTTGCCTTTCATATTTTTTAATTGCAATTGAAATAAAATGTTTAAATTATTATAATCTATTTTTCTTAATATGCAGTTGCTCAGGATTATGGCAATTTGTTACACGCTGTACAAAACGTTTGCAAATATTATACGTTTGGGAAACGTCATTAATAGAGGATTCTGAATTTGACGTCACAAAAGTATCAAAGAACATTTCATTGCACCTTGGTCGTACTTGGGTACCTGAATACATACCATTATGTTGAAATTTAAAGAATGACCGAAGCAATTTATTACGATGCAAATTTACTTAATGACCGACAATAGTTAGCGCATATACCAGAAATGTGCGTAAGTGATAACTTAGATTTTACGAATACACACACACACACACACACACACACACGCGCGCGCGCGCGCGCGCGTGCGTACATACATACATACATACATACATACATACATACACCCACACCCACGCACCCCCCCACACACATACATACATACATACATATCCTCCCTCATTTTTTACATACAAAAAGTATATAAGAAATCGTGTAATTTGTAGCATATATATTATATGCACGTTGTAGGTTTCCAATAATATTAGGATTGCTGTTTACAAAAAAAGCCTTTCAGAAGACCAGATCTTATAATATGATTGAAGTAAAAAATATTTATACCTTTCAAAATATGGTATTGCTGAAAAGGTATTTAATAATCATTATGGGAAGAACAAAGGAAAATGATAATTATTATATCATTATTGTTCTCCATCAATTTAGATCCACATGAACGATCCAACGTTACTCGATGGATCGGGCGCGAATCATTAAAAAAAAAAAAAAAGAACAACAAAAAGTCTCGTATTGTAAAAATTGCTCGTGTCTGTTAATACCAAAAATATAAACTTTATTAGATTATAATGGTATCTCTTGTGTGTGGTGTATATAAAATAAAATAATACCACTACTTATTTACCAACCGTCGCTCATGATAGATATGTATAATATACAATAATTGATATAGTCTATAATGTTATTGTAATATAACAGAGTATGTACATTATTTCTACATTATAACACAATAAATGATTGGGTATACTTAGTAATTACAATATCTGATACGTTAACAATAAATGTCCTTAATATTTACTTTCTTTTTAATTTACGCAATTATTACGTTTCTTTTTTTTTATATTTTGCTAATATTATTCTAAGAATGCGAGGCGCTCAGTCTTGTATCCCAGCCGATATATCCAATCTCTCGTTTCATTAAGGCCGATTAAAAAGCTAACAATTCGAATAAGTAATGTGGTTTAGCTATGTTCATGATAAACCATATATTAATTGTAAACAAGAATCTGCACCGTTTTCTTATCATAAAAATTTATAACATTACAATATATAACACGTAGATTGTGTTAAACAAATGTTATTACACTTTTATGAATATCATAATATTTTTATTTTCCATTGAAAGGAATAGCAATTTTTAAAAAATTATGATAGAAGTTAAATATTCAACACATAACGACATGTTATATGTTTGTTACATTATCAATTGTAAAATGTATTATTTACTCATTAGCATAAGCAACTGATGAGTTGTAAGCGTACACAAAATTAATTTAACACTTAAAGTAACAGAGCCCTTTGAACACGCTTATTGTACATATTAAAATGCTATATATCTCTATTAATATCAATATAAATATTTTAATGCGAAATATTGCAAAAACTTTAGGAACACGTAGAAAAATTATTCTAATGTAAATGTATGATCTCTGTTTTTAGTTATATGCTATGAATATACTCATTATAAATGTAAGTTTAAAATTTGTTGTTAAAAAGAGAAATTATTCGATAAAGGGCTCAGAAATACATAAAATATTTCCATGAAAATCAAAATAAAATGAAATTGATTTTATTATTATCGTTTTGTTAACAACTTTTTGTTCATTCATTGTGACGACCTTTAAATTTAATAGATATACAATACAACCGTATCTGATTCACTATAAAGATTTAGATTTACAAAGAACATAAGATACAAATAAAAATTTTTAAAACAAAATGAAAAATTTAATGTAAAGTGGTAATTATTTATACCGTTCACAGTTAACTTGTCTTATACTTTTTATCCTTTATACTATTTGTATATGTATTTAAGAATACATACAAATTTTTTGATAAACAATGAATGCTGAAAAATTTTATATTAACTAAAAGTCAGACAATTACTCATTAAGCAAGACTTAAATATACATAAAGAACCTTTCAGGCATGACCTGTACAGTGCCAGCAAATCCTAAAACTTGGAGTATTATTTACACTGAAGATTTTCCTTGACAACAAGCTTTAAATTTACATTTACAACACTCTGCAGGAAAATCCACTTAAAATATAATATATTACAAATCAAGCTTAGCTCTGTACATATCACGATATACTGAGGTTTTGTTCAAATTTCAAACACAGTTTACAGCTGCATACAAAACATGTCTAAGATATCGTTAATCTTTTTAGCACCAGCTTAGGCATGTTATCATCCTTTTGTATCCTCTACTTTTGGCAAAGTAATAATAATTTTACCGTTACGCAACGTTTATGAATAACAGGCTTAACAAAATAGGTCGACAATTATCCTATATCATTGTAAAGGAGCAATCAAACAAATGGACGGGTTGGTTGCTTATTCTACGCATAATTTAAGTGTTTAAATACACAAAATTGATGCAGCTTTAAGAAACATAATGTTTTTGAGCACTGTGACTGCTGACTTTGCTCGAGGGGCCTCTTAATATAGATGTATTCAATATTTAACTTTCTTGTAATTATACTTAAGAAATTCGTTTTATAAAATTTTTTAAGACTTTCCCTAAATATAATTATTATGATTGCTTTGGCGCACAATATGTTTAACAATAACAAGATTTTCATTACGACATATCGTACTGAAAATAATTTTTTTTGTTTATAATAGATTTCGCTATTATTTACGCACCTCTTCGTTATTCATTAAGATATGGCATCTGGTACAAACCAGTCATATCAATAAAAATATTTCATTCTCAAATAGATCCTGCAACATAAAAATTTTTCTGAAATTGATATTAATTTTATTATCTATAGTTATAAGTATTATATATATTCTGTATATTATATTAGGTATATTATGCATACCTAAACAACACAATCAATCTGGCATATCAATAGAAATTATAGGTACAACAGGTTTTGTTAGGTCGATTTTTTTTACATGTTTTTCATTTTTTTCAGAGACCATTGGTTCTGATGGTGGTTGGTCCTGTTCATTTCTGGGTTGATAAGAAATATTACCATATTCTTGAAGTAACGGGCATAATCCTAATAGAAAATGACAAAAGTCTTTTCTAATACCAAACCACCCTAAAATTAATAAGAACACTTTTTTAATGCACTAGTAATATTATTATCATAAAATGTAAAATTTCTATATGACATTTGATACTATTTTCTTACATCTATTTCCTCTTTTTGCATCAAATGACATAAAAATAAGGGTTATATGAGATATTAAAAGCGGCATTGCTATTGTAGTATAATTTAATGAAATATCTCCATCCAATTTATTTGCTAATAGTACCTGCCAAAAAAACAGACCATAATATGGATAACATTCATTAAAAGCAATTAATTTCAAAATTATTATAATTCTTACTTGGAACACTAAGATTGGAACCACAAGAAAAGTATATGCCAATGCTGAGTTTAAAGATGTCCGCCTTTGCCTGGCATTAATTTGTGGAGTTCTTAATAAAACAGCAGCAAATACTATTGCATATAGAACTGCCACTAGAGATAAGGATAAAAGTGCCCAAAGGGGAGCAAACACTACTTCCCAGCTCCATGTTATAAAACCATCCAATCTTAATGCCAAGAAAATAAACTGCAGTACATTTACTGCACAAAATAATTCAAGTTCAAATGATCGATCATGTTTTGCAGCCCATATACACACCTAAAGAGATAAGAACAATTATATTTTCCATAGAATTATTTTGTATATCTTTGGCACACAATTAAAAATTACTTACAACTACTGATACTACAGAGATGAAGATAAGTGGTATAAACACAAGCATCCAAAGGTGTCTTTCAGATTCTAATTTATCACATACTAACAATTCAAACATTAACAAGATCAAATGTAATGCCAATGTAATTAACATTGCTTTATAATGTATATAAGCATCTCCTTCCAACCTTGCATGTGGATGTCTCCACCAAACATAACTTCCAACAGTTGCACCTAAAATTACCATGCTTTTCCAAAACCATATTGGAGTAAATACAGACCAATAACTCCATTCTATAAAACCATCCAAACGAAGTGCAAACAAGGTTGTAAATATCATCAAACAGGAGTGTACCAAAAATTTGCTAAAATATAAATTAAAAATCATTAGTGTATAATTGTAAATATCTTTATATTTTTTAATATTTTTTAAAATTCATACATATAGCTTCTTCATAGATATATATATATATATATATATATATATATA